TACAATGACTTTTATTACTGAAAGTATGAACTAATTTTATTTTCTAGGGCTAAGATGTAGCCTAATTTTATGAATATGCATTGAATTAATTGTTGCTAATTTTTATTAAGTTTTGTTTTAAGTTTTATTATTGTGCTTAAAGCTTTCAATTCTAAATGGCCCTAGAGTTGAATGATTTTATGGGTTAGGTTGAGATCGAGAGATGAAACCTAATTAGTCTAAGGTAATAAAACCATAGATTGAGCGAACGCTAGAGATAGGTTACCGCGATCTGTGAGGCTCTAGTAAATTCCATAGAACTTAATGATCTCCAATTGCTTAAATCTGATTAGAGATAATTCGGGTTAGTAATTAGGAGTTAATTTGTTAATTGTTTGAGAGAAAGTTAGCGAAATATTAGGGAGTTTGGTCTTTAGAATAAGCTTAATTGGGTTAACGATAATTGTCAATGCATAGGATTAAATTGGTGTGAAATCTATGCCCTAGGTTTAGTCATATTGATTTCCTACTAAAGTGTTAATAAAAGTCGGTTTTTGTTTTGTGTCTAAGTTGTTTTATTTTCCATTGAATCATTCTGAAAATCTGATTGATCAAATAGTAATAGGATAGTTTAATTGGTAATTCATAATAGTAATTCCCTTGGGTTCGATATCCGTATTTTTTACACTGTATTACTTGCATGATTTCGTACACTTGCGAAAATCGACAACAATAGGCCTCACTAACAACTGACACGGCAACGTTCAATCGGTCGACTGAGGAGGCCAACCAGATACACCTCCGAATGCTTAACTTAGAGAGTAGGGGACAAACTGTTAGGGCCAAAAAATGTCCTTGGCCTAAATAGGCCCAAAGACGAAGACACCTTCATCCAGGCTGGAAGCTCGGGCCCAACTCTGACGAGGCCCAAATCAGAGTTCTATAGATGAGGCCCATTCAGTAGGCTTCCTCAGCTCCGCATCGTTTAGACCCAAACCTCTTGATCCTTCAACACCTATTGGGCTTACGATCAACTCGGAGCCCACAGTCACCTACGAAGTATATTCCTACTTGAACTCTGCCAAAGAAGTCAATTACTATCCCAACTCCTCCAAGGTCCGTACCTGGGCACATTCGAATTCCCTTTCCTACTGAGATAAGGGAACCAAAGACTACACCTTTGGAGAAGACTACCATCACAAGGACTCCCAGTCCTACCAGGATTTGGAGATCATGCAGTCACTATTTAAACAGACGCCAGCCCTCTCACAAAGGAGATCGATAGTACACCCTCAGACCCTGAAGTTCCTACTCTTGAGAACTTCACATTACAGCTGTAGTCACAGTCCCAGACTAGACTTTCGGTAACCTTTCTTCTCCCTAGCCTTTACTAAATTAGCCTCATTCAGCCTTGCTGACTTGAGCGTCGGAGTGCCTACGGTAAACACCACCCCGGTGTTTTTTGTCGCTTCACTTTTGTTTCCTTACGGTGTAGGTGCAGCGGATCGCTAGTGGCCTCAACCTCACGGGATCAGTCCCTCTTTCTGTACAGGTAGATTTTTACGTCTACAATCATATTATTCTATTATTTATTGAATTATAGATTTCTTATCATCATATTTGAGGTCCACATATGAGTTACATATTACATAAGTTAAAGTATAAAATTGAAAACTCACAAAGAAACCTGTTATTTTCTTAATTAATTACATGGTGCCGCCTTTAAAAAATTGATTCCCTTAGTATTTTATTTTATTTCAAGCTTAAAAATAATGTATATCTTACCTCACAAATTTTCTTTTTTCATATCATACACTAATTTATCTATTTTATTTTATCAAACTATTATCATTATTTAAAATAAAATCTCATTAAAGATTTTTAACGGATCTATCTGTAATCATAATTTAGTTTTTACTTCTGTTTCTTTACTATTATTATTTTATTTTTTACCTTACACTTGGAATTACTTATTGAAATAAGAAAAAAAAAATTCGTGTTTTAGTAGTAAAATTTTGAATATGGTATTTTCAAATAGTATTTTAAAGAGCTAATTATGTAAATTTCTAAGTCCACGATTGTGGAGATTACTATAACCACTGAAAGACTTTGACTTGGTTATTGTTGCTGATACATTTGACTTATGAGCCTAATAAAGCAAGTGTCTCTATAATATGTTTTTTGACCAAACTCTCTATGAAGACTCTAAGAGCGTTGTCTTGAAGTTAGAGTCTTTATAGTGAATTTGGTCTACAACATTATTAGGTTCATAAGTTTTTATTTCGTAGTCAAGACGTTTTGGTGGATGGTCCAAGTCGTTTAGTCTACTTTCCAAGGCAAGTTGGATGCTAATAATTTTTACTTTTACTTCTATGGTAAGCAACTCATGTGTGGACCTGAAATTGGTGATAATAAATTGAGTATTCATATTAAAAATTAAATTCTCCTGTTTTTTTTTTTAGCCTTATTGAAAAACAATAATGATCTCTTCATCACCAGTTTTTGAAGAACACTTCCCCACCTTCACAGAAACTCTGAAACAAAAGAAATACCCATAAGTTGGTGGAATCAGAAAATTGGATTTATTAGGGTTGAAGGAAAGTTAGAGAAATAAGGGGGCCAAAAAATTTATGTGGTAAAATCGATATATTTAATTTATTAATAAGTAAAATTTTAAAATTTTCCTCGGTGGTCACCGTGGCCCAACAAGCCCTAATGTTGGTCCGCCTGCCTCAGCAACCAAGTCAAAGTCTTTTTGTGGAGGACAGAAAGTTTTTAGTAAATTGTTTATCTTTAATAAGTTTATTTTAATTTTACATTTTCACCTCTCCTAATCAGACACATTATACTTTGTATAATAGACTTTGTATTCAAGCTTTATAAGACTAGTATTACTATTAAGAAAAAATATTTCTTTATATACAATATATTGCTTAGGACCAAATAGAATTTCTGCAATCAGTTTCCAGCAGCGAAGTTTCCATCCTCTTTTTGACTTGATTGGATTCATTTGCGGAGGGTTGAAGTTTCCACCATCAATCACGTCGGCAACAAATTTAACAGAGCTGTCTTCGCCACACTTGGTAAGCATATACATGTAACATAGAAGACCTAACAGATAAAAGCTCTTTTCAAATGGTGGCCAAGATTACCTCCTTCAATAGCGCAAACTAATTGGATCAGGGTTGGTTATTACTAGTGGTCTTTGGTTCTGGGTGCCTTACACTTTTTGAACCAGAACCGACGGTTCCTTAAAATTTGGAACCAAAACCAGAACCGACAGTTCCGATTCCTAGGTACCCAAAACCAGAACCTATAATAACAGTTCCAGTTCCGGTTCTGGGTACCCTGTAAAATTTATAACCCCCCAAAAATTTTTAAAATGGCAAGAAAACCCTTAAAAACTTACAAATACCCCCCCTCCCCCCCACTTGGCACTTGTTAACAAAAATAAAATTACAAATTATAAATTCAAAATTACAAACTCCATTACTTTGTAAAGGTAAATTCTCAAAAGTCAAACCAACTTACTTTAAATATTATAAAATATAAATATAAATATATTTACATTACTTTTTCTACAAAAGTTTTTATTAAACCCACTAATCTTTAATTTTATTTTATATTAGTTTCGGTTCCTGGTTCCTAGTTCCGGTTCCAAAAATTTGGAATCGAAACCTACCCGTTGACGGTCGGTTCTAGGTAGGAACCGGAACCAAACCCTGGGTACCCACAGGTTCCGATTCCAACAGGTTCTTTTGAACACCCCAAGTTATTACCGTCCATCAAATGAGTTCCCCATCTCGGACATAAGTTTTACTCTCTTCACTCACATTATTTGTGCTTATGCTGCTGTGAATTCCACCTCCTACCAATTCTCTTAACATTTCTCCACCTTGACACATACTGTCAAACAAAAGAACTCATCGGTCACCACACTGCTAAAAATAAAGAAAACCAAAACACATGAATTTTAAAGTAGTTCGGCTGAATCAATTTAGCCTATCTCTACTATCCACTAAGCAAAAGCTTACAATTTTGCAAGAGAAAAATTGCAAATTCCTTACACTATCCTAAAAAGCCTAATTACACACTTAATGATAGCCCATTATACGTTTTTTTTTTAAATTTTTAATGTCTTTCTTACACTTTTTTTTAGATACTTTAAATGTACAATCTACTAGTCTATTTAAAGGGGAGAGTCCCCTTGCAACTCCCATTTGCCAAGTGATATGTGAATCAAGGCACTATCCCAAGGCAAGTTGGGTATTGAAAATGATAGTAATTTGTAGTGACACTTGACTTTATTAGGTTCACAAGTTTTTATTTCGTAGTCAAGGCATTATGGATGGTCCAAATCGATTGGTCTACTTAATTCCCAAGGCAAGTTGGGTATTGAAGATGATAGTAATTTGTAGTGTCCCTATACTTTTTTAACTAAGGTGTTTATGCCAACTTATGTGCATTTCGACTAATCTTTAGGACAATCCCTATACTTTTACTTACATGATAAACAACTCATGTATGGATCTGAAATTGGTGATAATAAATTAATCTATGATTCAATTAATAATTGAGTAATACGACGAAGAGTCTTTATAGTTAAAGATCAAGGACTCCTATTTTTTCTTGTTAGCCTTATCGGAAAAAATGATGATCTATTCATCACCAGTTTTTTAAGAACACTTCTCCACCTTCATGGAAAATCTGAAACAAAAGAAATACACATAAGTTGGCGGAATCAGAAAATTTCATTTAATGGGGTTGAAGGAAAGTTAGAAAGATAAGGGGGCAAAAAATTATTAAAGATATATTTAATTTATAAGTAAAATTTCAAAATTTTCCTCGGTCGTCACCATGGCCGGGCCAACAAGCCATAATGTTGGTCCGCCTCAGCAACCAAGTCAAAGTCTTTTTGTGCGGGCAGAAATTTTTAATGTCTCCGTTTAGAAATTTTCATTACTAATCTTAAATGATTTGGTCACCATAAAGACTTTTGCTTTCCATTTTGTGATGTAGCATTTGCTAATGTTGAAGTTTCCACCTTCAATCATGGCCGCAACAAATTTAACAGAGCCTTCTTCGCCACACTTGATAAACATATACAAGTAACAAGGCTAAAAGATAAAAAGTTCTTTCAAATGGTGGCCAAGATTATCAACATTGTTATTTTCTATATTTTCTTCTCTACACCATTGCGCCCTTCAGTAGCGCAAACCAATTGGATCAGGGTTGGTTATTACCGTCCATCAAATGAGTTCCCGATCTCGGACATAAATTTTACTCTCTTCACTCACATAATTTGTGCTTTTGCTGCTGTGAATTCCACCTCCTACCAACTCTCTTTATCGCCAGCTGACCAAGAACATTTCTCCACCTTCACACATACTGTCAAACAAAACAACTCATCGGTCACCACATTGCTATCTATTGGGGGTGAAAACGGAAATAATTCTACCTTTTCTTCCATGGTAAGCAATCCTTCTCTCAGAAAATCCTTCATCGATTCCTCGATAAAAATAGCGAGACTTTACAGTTTTCAAGGCCTAGATTTCGCTTGGCAATATCCAGCCACAAGCGGTGATATGTTCAATATGGGAGTTCTGTTTAAAGAGTGGAGGGCTGCCGTTGATTTAGAGGCAAGAAACTCGAAATACTCGCAACTGATCTTGACAGCAAAAGTTAGATATTCAACATTGGTATCTTTACAAGGTTACCCTGTACAGATGATACAACAGAATTTGAATTGGGTCCATGTTGTTTCTAGTAATTACACCCAACCTCTTTCGACCAACCTTACGAGCGCTCATGCAGCTTTGTATGACCCAAGTAGTTATCTTAATACGGATTATGGCATAAGGGATTGGATCACTGGAGGATTATCAGCTAATAAATTGGTTTTGAGTTTGCCTTTCTATGGCTTCGCGTGGACGCTTGAGAACCCTATAAACAATGGTATTGGTGCGCCAGCAAAGGGACCAGCTGTTGATGGAACTGGATTTCTTACATACAAAGAAATCAAGAATTACGCAAAGCGAAATGGTCCGGATGTTCATGTTTTGTACAACTCAACTAATGTGGTTAATTACTGGACAAAGGGAACAACTTGGATTGGGTTTGATGATGTTGAAGCTGTTAGGGGTAAGGTTGCTTATGCCCAAAAGAAGAAGCTACTTGGCTACTCTGTATGGGAGGTTTCCTATGATGATAATTGGGTACTTTCTCGAGCTGCAGGTAAGTAGAATTAATGCTTCGCTCTCAGCACGAATTGATTATTTCCTCTAGTTGATTAAGCATGCTCATGATAAAATTAATATCAAAATATCCTGGCTAAAGAATTATAACATATATTGCAATGTAGTTAATTATAACATTTTGAGCATTTTCCAGCTGCGGTGCGTATTAATGATTCTTCGGTTCAAGAGGATAGTAAACAGGGGCAACATAAGAGAAGTTTGTCAGTAATCCTTTTGTCTACTGCAGCAGCTGTTATTCTTCTACTAGGAATATTTGTAGTGTGTTTCTGCTGGAGGAAAAAGCTCATATTAAAATGTAAGTTTTAATTTTCACAATTTGTATGAGTTAATGTTTCATTTAAAACTTTTTGATGATTAAATTGTCTTATCACAATGAATAAGGAAGTTAACAAATTTATTTCTTCGTTTTTATTTTTTGGTTAACAGGGACGGTGGACTCCACTAAACAACCCAAAGATAAAGTAATTACAGGAGTAGGAGGTGTAGATTTTAATAGCAATATTCCTGATCTTGTAGAATATACTTTGGCTGATATTGAGGCAGCTACCAACGGATTTTCAATTAAACAAAAGCTTGGACAGGGTGGATATGGCCCTGTTTACAAGGTACACTACCTTATTAGGATTTTTATAATGTTAAGAACAACACTTTTCATGTGCTTAACTCTTTATTCTTTAATTTAATGTAATTTTCGCAGGGCCTGGTTTTAATTTAACTTTTTAAGGAATAGAAAATGGTAGAGTTATAGTTTGTATATTGCTAGGGTGTACTACCAAGTGGACAGGAAATAGCTGTGAAGAAACTTGCACAAACCTCCTCTCAAGGATATGAGGAATTCAAGAATGAGGTTACGCTTACAGCAAGGCTACAACATGTAAATCTTGTTCGAGTTTTGGGGTTTTGCATTGATAAAGAAGAAAAGATACTTGTCTACGAATACATGCCCAACAAAAGCTTAGACTATTACCTTTTTGGTCAGAATTTTATTTGCAATTTTATGCTTTTGTTTTAGCTATTTTTTTGCTTTAAAGACTGATGGTTCATTATTACATTTATATATACAGATCCTGTTAGACTATATATTTTGGATTGGGAAAAACGTATTCAAATAATTGAAGGGATTACTCAAGGGCTTGTGTATCTTCAAGAATACTCAAGATTGACTATTATTCATCGAGATATAAAAGTTAGTAATGTCTTACTAGATAGAGATATGAAGGCAAAAATATCAGATTTTGGTATGGCTAGAATATTTACAAAAGATGATCTTGAAGTAAACACAGACCGTATTGTCGGAACACTGTAAGTATCACTACTCTTAATGCTATATTATTGTCTCAAGATTTTGCTTGTTTTATATAACTAATAACTTTGTCATTGTTTTGTAATAATCCGACACAGTGGTTATGTTCCTCCTGAATATGTTAGAAGAGGTATATACTCAACTAAATCCGATGTTTATAGTTTTGGAGTTCTACTTCTACAGATCATAAGTGGCAAAAGGATTTCCCATTTATATGGTCCAAGTGAAAGTTTGACCCTTCTGGACTATGTAAGTTAATTTGGTTAGAAGCTGGTTTTAAGATCTATGGATGAAAAGTATTCAGGTTTTAGCACTAAAATAAATTATTTTATAATTTTCAGGCATATGAGCTATGGATTAATGGTAAAGCCATGGAATTTATGGATGAATCACTAGATGATACATCTTCGTCATGTAAATTAGTGAGATGCTTGCATATAGCTCTCTTATGTGTCCAAGAAAACCCGAGTGATAGACCGTCTATGTTGGAAATTTTCACTATGCTCAAAACTGAAACTATAGACATGATGATTCCAAAGAAGCCTGCTTTCTCGAAACGCAGTGGAAGAAACAAATCCGTAGTGCAGTTGGAAGGTCATTCAGGGAGCACTTCATCAATTAATGATGTCACAATTACAAATTTGGCAGCTAGATGAATTGCAGAATGCACCTTAAGAAATTGAAAATGTGTATACCTGGAATTCTTGCAAGCTAGACATGTTTCATAGGTGTAGTTTTGTAATACTCAGTTCATCAATTAATTTCCAACCAAAAATTATTTCAGAAGCCTGCTTTCTCAAAAGAAGCTGATTAAGATGAACAAAGTAGATGGACATTTAATGATGCAACTGTTTCAGAAGTTGTAGTTAGATGATTATAGGCTTTTGCAATACCAAACGCGGTGATTCTGTTCGCTTGAAGACAATATTGACTTCACAAATGTTCAATTAAATTGTATGCAATTTTTTTTCAATTGGGTTAATAATAGTACTGATGATCTCTATGATCGGTAAATAATTAAAAATCACTAAAATAAGAGATTGAAATTATGTTGATGCTTTTTTTAAGTCCTTTCTTTGCAGAAACTCCAATCATGTATAATATGGCTAGCTTAGTTACGTTAAGCTGTCATCTTACATCCTTAGGTATTTGCTAAATTGTAAATCAAATAAAAGGGTTAAATTAAAATATTTTTTTTCTTCATGTTTTAAATTGTTTGGGAATTTTAAGAATGATTATTTGAAACTATGCCTTAGTGGCATGTTAGTGTTTGAATCCAAAAATTACTGATGAAGTACTTCAAACTATGAACTCAATAAAACACTAAAAAGGGTGAATCCAAGCTCAATCCGAAGTTATTTATTATGATTTAAATAATGTGTTGATGCTTGATTTTGACACCAATCAATTGTCACGTGCGCAGCGTTGATTGGTCAAGAAGCACACGTGAGTACGAATATAGAAAGCGAAATAAATGCAAAGAGAGTTTTTAAAGTGGTTCGGATGCTAAGGTAGCAAGTCCTACGTCCACTGATTTGTATTGATATTGATAGTGTGGGTCAGGTCGCAACAGCGGACTGACTTTTAAAAGATTTGGAAAAAGTAAATGTGTTGTTTACAGGAGAGAGATTTTCTCAGTGTAAAAATGGCCGAATCCCCTTAATGAAGGGGTCTTCTTCATTTTATATCAAACTGAAGCGTGTAATCATCATTAAATCCATGGGTTGGTGTGATTGTCAGGATATAATCCGGCTTTATGTCCCATTGCTCTCTTCCCAAGCTGATTTTGCACGATTTATTGCAGGGGAAAGGGACACGTGTGAGCTCCATATCATTTGGCAGGTCTGACGTGTGCTTGTTGCTCTAACGGGAGCAGGTCACTCCTCACGTGACTTTCCCACGTCAGCCCTTATTTTCCCAGGCATAACAGAAGCCCCCTAGTTTTTAAGGTTTGAGGATCGAACCTTGGAAACTAAGTCATGCCGCGATTGGAGGTTCTGGTCGCTCCGACCTAAATGGGATGAGCTCGGCACAGGGCCTTTGGCGAACACGACCTCGCGCAATTCCTCACCTAAGCGACCTGACAATCTTCATCCTAGCGACCTGGATTCGTCGGACGCTCATTTTTGTACCTTAGGGTCAGGGATTCAATGAACCTGGTTCTACGCTATCAGGCGCTCTGCATGCGCTAAAGCGTTTGTCAGGCACATTAAATGCGTTGTGTGCTGACCCGACACCGTTTTGACAGTATTAGTTGTGCAACGCATTTGAAACGACGACTCTTATCACGGCATTTAATGCGACGTGGGGCACATTAAATGCGGGGAGAGAGAGGAGGCTGTCGTTTCGGTTCCGAGAAGTGGTAACTGTCGATTCACAATCCATATTAAAAACTAAATTTTCAGATGAGGTCACGAAAATCCTTTGCTTCGAGTGACAAGCCTTTGCAAACCAGAAACATTCTTTTCCGATCGGGCTTCTCAGGCAACTGAAACAAGTTTCGGCCTCGGTTACTTATCCCATAAGGTAAGATTCTCCTTTCTCTCTTTTTTTTTTTTTTTTTTTTTTTTTTTTTTTGCATTTGTTTGGTTGGGCGATGGTGTTGGGTTTCCCGGTGTTTCACCAGGGACGTGACGCCGTTATTGGATTCGAGCCGTGGATGGCGGCTCGAGTTACTGTTAGGGTTTAAGGGATTTGTCCCATGCCGCCGCGCGGGACATGCGATGGCTAAAATGACCTGTCTATTGATGTTGCAGACTCCAGAATGGAACCGTCAACATCTAGACCCGAGGAAGGAGCCAGCTCGTCCTCGCGGGAAGTTCCCGAGGACGCATCCCTTGATGTCTTCTCGGTTCTCACCCCAGAGGAATTCGATAGGATAAAAAAGCAGTTTGACGTCCGCGCGAAGGTGTTCCTCGACCATACCAGGTCGTCACAGCGCCCCTTTGATGGCCTTGCCGCGATCTCCGAAGAGATCTTCAAGGGTGGAGGGAGGATTCCCCTCCATCCTTTCATCAGGTCGATCCTGGATCATTTCGGGATCACACCGATGCAGCTGACGCCAAACGCGTATGTCATCGCTGTCGCTATGTACATCGTGTGCTGCGAGAGCGGCTTGGGCGAGCCAACGGCGGTGGAGCTCGGCGTCGCCTACTACCTTAAGAAGAGTAGGGACAAGGATTCATACTATCTATCTCGGCGACCTACCATTGCCGCGGGGATACATAGCTATCCCAGCGATGCGGGGGCCTACGAGACAAAGTTCTTCTTCTTCTGTTATGACGGCTACTGCCGTTTTCAGGAACCAAGTAGGTTCTTCTTCGTTGGGTTCATTGTCTGCTCGCATGATTTATAATAACGACATGCTTTTTCCTTTTGCAGTTAATAGAACGACTAGACAAGCCTTACTCGCCGACCCAGATAGACTCGTATCTTTTGGAGTACTGGACGAGGAGAGCCGGGACGCGAGGAAGCTTGTGACAACCGCGAACTTGCGGAAGTACGGTTTTTTCAGCAACAAAGCGTCTTTAGAACCCTTGGAAGGTAAGTTACGTCGATCCCTGTCATGGTCGCGGAGCAATTTTGTTTACTAACGAACTTAAATGCAGAAACTATGCCCCCAAAGGAGTCTGAGCAGCCTCGCCGAGCACCATTCGTCTTCCCTCGATTGAGGAGAGAGAGAGCGGTCGAAACTGCTCGTCCTATTCCGGCACAGTCGGTGCGAACAGTCGCGCCTCCCTAGCCCCGTCCTGTGCAAGAAGTGACCAGGACAGAATAGGTCGCTCAGGCACCATCTGCTCGCCTAAGGCGGAAGGCTCCGGCCCAGAGGTCGAAGAAGAGGAAGCAGATTCAGGCCGAAGAGTCGAAGACTGAATTTGAGGAAGAGCCTTTGAGGTCGCGATAGGAATCAAGGAGGTCGGGCAAGGAGCCCGTGAGCGAGGCGGTCGCTGCCGGCAAGGCGAAGGACGCACCAGTGCTAGACTCATTGGGGAGTCTACCCGAATACCTGCAGCCGATAGTCTATGGTCTGCTCGAGTGCGAGCTATCGGAGTCATACGACGAGTTTGCTGATACGGGCGACGACTTGATGACCACGTCGTTCCAGCATCTAAGCAAGGTAAACGAGCTGTATTTGAAACTTCATTATGATTTATTTCTAACTCATATCTTGCTCGCAGGCGTTGCTTGCGATGAGGATGTCTATGGAGAAGACACGGCTGGGGGCCGCAAAGGGGACAAGCGACCTGAAGGAAGAGGTCGTGAAGCTGAAGCAGAGCTTGGAGTCCGTCGAAGCGGAAAGAACACAGGTGTTCGAAGCGGCGAATAGGTATCTGAACCAAAAGGACGCTGCTTTACGAACAGTGGACTTCCAAAAGACGGAGCTCGATCGACGTGCGGAGGAAGTTAAGGAACTTCAAAGGACAACCGCCAGGCTCTCTAAGGAGGTCGGAGAGAAGGACCAGGAGATCCAGACGACCTTCGCACGGGCTCAGCGAGCTGAACAAGAGAGGGAGGCCTCTGAACAGGAAAGGCAAGCTCTTGAGGCCGAACTCCAAGAGAGTCGGGAGAGAATCGCTTCTTTGACTGAAGAAATGCGGAATCAGTCAGAGGAGCTGGAGGAAAAGGCCGCAGACTAGGCAATCGGGTCTATTTACTCCCTGCGAGCAAAGAACCCGGATCTGGACATGTCCGACCTCCCGGACGGTTGGCAAGAGGCCTTGCGAATTCTGGCGGAAGAAGATGATCAAGTAGTAGCTGCCACCCGATGATCCGACCAGGCAGAGAGCTCTGGTCCTGCTTCGAAGGATCCCCCCGACCAGCCGTGATGTAATGAGTCTGGACCCCATTGAGATTGGGTCTTAACTTTTTGTTTGTACATAAATGAAGATACATTCTTTTCAATTGCAGTTCGCTTTTTCATATATATGTACAATTTACAATTGTGATTTACATAGGCAATTACACACAAATTCTTACATGCGAACAGAACACATGCGAACTGTTTCGAGCGAACAAAGTAATACTTAACATTAAAGAAATTAACAAAAATGGAGAGCTGAGTTCGGGATTACTGATAGTATGGCTGGAGGTGCTCGGCATTCCAAGCTCGGGGTACTTTGGAGCCGTTCAATCTTTTGAGGTGGTAAGTCCCTAGTCTGATTACTTTGTCGACCCGGTACACACCTTCCCAGTTAGGTCCTAGTACCCCCGCACTTGGCTCTCTGGTCCCGAGAAGAACTTCCTTTAGCACAAGGTCTCCGACTTGGAAGTCTCTTCGCTTGACCTTTGAGTCGAAGAACCTCTTTGCGCGCTGCTGGTAGGCTGCTATCCTTAGCGAAGCCTTGTTGCGGTGCTCTTCGACCAAATCCAAACTTGCTCTCATAAGTGCTTCGTTCTCAACCTCATCGTACAAGTCCCTCCGAAGAGAACCGGTCCCGACCTCTACAGGGATCATCACTTCGCAGCCATAGGCTAGCAAAAAAGGGGTTTCCGAGGTGGAGGTTCTTGGAGTTGTCCTGTACGCCCATAAGACTTTGGGGAGATCGTCGGCCCAATTTCCTTTGGCCGCCCCGAGCTGGGCTTTTAGAGTGTGCTTGATGGTCTTGTTGACTGCTTCAACTTGGCCATTCGCTTGCGGTCTGGCGACTGAGGCAAATTTTTTATGGATGCCCAGCTCGTCGTAGAACTGCTTGAACTCCTCATTATCAAATTGCTTTCCATTATCCGAGATGAGGGTGTGAGGAATTCCGTAGCGGCACACTATGTTCTTGAAAACGAAGTCTTTTAGCTTTCTGGTCGTGATCGCGGCTAGCGGTTCGACTTCAACCCATTTTGTGAAATAGTCTACCGCGACCACGACATACTTGACCCCTCCTTTTCCGACTGGCATGGGGCCGACAAGGTCGATCCCCCACATGGAAAATGGCCAGGGGCTAGACATATTAATTAGCTCGTGAGATGGGGCTCGCGGAATGTTCGCGA